TAAGTAGGAGCAGATATTCGGAGAAGCCTATTGGTAAAACATTATGTTGTAGTCAAATAAAGTAAATATGTCTGAATTGTAGAGGAGGTATTGCGATTATAAAGTGTTTCGAGTTATCTATCGTCTTAGCAGAATACATATACTGATTCGCGATTCATAGTCACAAAGTGAGAGTAAATCTACCTGAGATAGTTTGCTTGTGATTTCTGCATGCCGCAGTGTACCATAAGGAGAGACTATACCTATGCTGTTAGATGTATAACTCAGTGCAACTACGGTTATCGTAATAATTAAAAACAGAATGCCTAGGGTTCTCAGCCACGGGACGCAATACGTTGCTATCTGCTCATATAATCACGTAAACAAAAGTTTTCCAGACGCCGCATTTACTCCTAACAGTTTACCCTCAACTCCTAACTTAGCACGTGTTACTTATGTTACTGGAACACAATCGCATTACAACAGAAGGAAGACAGATTCATTGAAAAATTGTTTATTAAACAAAAATCAGATTTCAAATGTACAGATAATTCAGATGAATAGTCCTCTATTACCTCCAGTAATTTCCATCTGCGTACACGGTACGCGTACGTTTTTCCATAAGTCTGAAAAGGTTTAAGAAAAGTAATTAACTTGGGTATTACATGTATGACCTGAACAAAAAAATTTCCTGATATGCATTTACAAGTGATAACTTTACAAACAATATATATATGTATAAGTAACCAAATAGTTTTCACTAAACTTAAGGGACTTCGCGATTTATCGTTGGTCGATATCTAGAAGGTCCATCAAAGCATCATGAAATGATAAAATTATTTAACAACAAGTTATGCAGTAGTTTCCAAAGCTTGTACAAATATTTTAGCAAAAATGACAACAACTTTATGACAAATAATAGGTCTTGACAGCAATTATAATAACGTTCATGTTCATAGTGACTATAAAAACAATAATAGGTATTATTATCGCAACGAATTCATCATTAACTTAGATAGACAACTAGTAATACAATCATATCAAATAAATGTATCACTTAATCTTAAGAAGCAGGTGTTTACTTACTTTCACTGTATTCTCTCAATACTGATGTGCTCAACCAGCTTATTCCAACTGAATTCAAGATTAATTCTGAAAGTGAGTGAAGATCCAGCTTATGTCAAATAAAAAAAATAGCTTACATGTATTAAACTGCTTACTGAGACATCTGATACTTGCTTTCCGATCTTCGTGACAAGAACACAGATTATCTAGGTTTACCTACGTATACAACAGTATACGTATATGCTGCATCAACCATACCATTTTTATCATGATTAACCAGACCACTGTGTATATTATACTTATTTGAGGATCTCTTAAAATAAGTGTCAAGCGGTAATTGAAGTTGCGTGAAGTTATTACCTCTTCAGAACATTGTTTGCATTCTTGACACTCCTCAGAATTCCTTACATATTGATATGGCATGAATTCTTTGAATTCAGCAAATAAATACACTGGTGTATCATTTCTCTCCTGAGCTGTAATAGTTTGTGTTGTCAGTTATCTATCCAATTTGATAAAACGCTCCTGGAAATTCAGAACTTAACCAAGCAGCAAAATGATGTTTGAAATTACCTCAACTCGAATGACAAACTGGCCAATCACAAGCGAGCAAATCGCTTGTTTATCTCATTCGCGGTCACTCAAAATTACGGCCGTCGACAGGCTGTCTAGGGATTGGCCTGATAGTTTATTCACAAGGTAATAAGGTTGCTTTGTAAAACGTCAGTTAGTTTGCCATGATAACGTTATTAGCGATATTAACCACCAATGACTCACCACAACAGTTAGTGTCCAATTTAAACAGCAATACGTAATTCTGGGTCCATACGCGGCCAGGAACTTAGACATAACCAAACAAGATCTGAAAATGCAAGTCGCGGTGGACTACACTAAAATAAATGTCCCACTGTGAACGTTTCGTGCTTACCAATTAACCAGCTCTCTATAGTGTTAAAAGAAGTGCGAAATTACTGACCGATAACGCGCATAGTGGTTGAAGACAGTAGTCGGCTTTAGATTTATATTTTCACTAGAGCGCCGATGGTGAGCAAGTCAAGCGGGGGAAATCTAACCAAATACGTATAGGGGAATTTGTCATTCAATAGAGAAAGAGGATCTTACAAAGCATAGGGAAGATAAACTTCCTACTAAGCTACTTGTCTCGTCCTTACGTCCTCCTTAATCACCAACCGCCGGTCAGTGATGATAGCGTTGTGTATGTTTTAAAAGTAAATTCAGATATATAATGGGAATGCGGATGTAAGTTGGCTTCCGTTTTGTCGACAGTTATGAAATATGAAGGATGGTGAAGGAGACATCTGGTTGAGCACTTTGGGGTGACTGTTGTCAAAGTGTATTTGAGCAGAGAATCATTTATGATAATATTGCTCAAAACGTTTGATTCAGAAATCAGCGGCATAGACATTAACTGTCAATGTAACTGCCAGGATGTAAAATGACGCTTACAATAGCCGTTTTCGTACATTTTTACTCTCTGTTTGAGTAATACAGGTGAAATTTAATCTCAAAATGAATTAACATTACACCACAATTACCGCTTTTCACGTTTCTTGTTGTTTGACCACTAATTCAAAAGTCATTCAGCGCCCTGCCTGAATTATAGTGCTACCTGAATTCCTATCCAATACAATGCATCATATTTTCTCAATTATGTCCCTTAGTCGCAAACTGAGCCAAATGAAATATAACGGCCCAATGACCTTAAAGGCATACTGTTCGTTGAACAACTAGACCTACTATTACTACAGTGTCACTATGAACGCTATACGCAAATCGACGTGTAAATTCTATTCTGATCTTGTTTTTAGGTGCTGTTAATGGTTCTTAAGGGTTACGATCATGATTATGGTTAGAATCAAAGATGCGGTTAGAATTAGGGTTATGATTGGGGTTAGGGTTAGGATTAATGACCGGATCAGGGCCATAGTCAGGGTTAGAGTAGGGATAATGGTTAGGGTTACGATTAGGGTTAGGTTTTCAGTTGGGATAAGGTTTAGGGTGGTTTGTTTTTCTTATCCTCGTTTTTTAGTAAACAGACATCGATCCCTTTACTGGAAGCTATACTAGTTAAATCGCTGTCTTTCGGAGAAGACTAAAAATTGTATAGTTGAGGTAAATGGGTCACAATAACGACTCGTCTTCAATCACCAGAATGACGGCTTGAGATTTTTCTGATGTATACGAGGGCTTAGATCTTCATCTTGAAAAAGATAATAATGAACGCCTAGACAGATCACGCTTCTGCCTTTAAACATATACCATTCGCTCAGCCTATTGTTGAGATGCGACCACATAGGCTCTGCACAGATTTATGGGGCATCTTATAAGTTAACTTGCCTTCCATTGTCGGATCTTTGAATACCACTTCACAATGTCTCATCTCACTTATTTTCTAATAACGTCTTTGCTTGATCCTCATTACATTCCGTTAAACCTAACATTTTATAGCTCTTTATGAATTTGATTCGACTTATTCTGTTCCTATTCTCTGTAGGGTACGGTCGTGCATGATTATTCATTCCCAACGTTCTAGTGGAATACGAAGGTAAGGAGGTACCCAAAATCACACTCTATTCCCTACTATCACTTTCAGCTAGCTCTACGGATACCAGCAAGCTTTATTCTTCTCTTCACATGACTTACTCAATACGCCGTCAGATGATCAATCCTGCAATCATTTTTGGGACTTTATTCGAAGACTTGACGTGTGGTAACATTTAAATTACATCTATAATTCTTTCTGAATATTTCTCGAAAGATACATCCTTGACTGTTGGCTCAATGCCGCCAGGCCGTCTTGTTGCTTACTCTTGTAGGCCAACCCCTTTTTCTTCATACTGTGGCAACAAATTGGGAAGGTTTGAATGAAGGTCTCCAGTAGACTGAGGGGATGGTTTCAGTGACAGACACCACATCTGTGAAGCACGCATAGACATGAACTAAAGTGAACAACTTGGAGATTTTGCTGATTGTGCTGAGTGGTCCAAATTCTCACACGTATTTTGGAGCACTGAACGCCCTCTTCGCTTTTCCTATCTTGGCTCCTCTTAGATTACTCCTACAGATGGTGGCTGGTGCTTATTGTTACTGATAGGTTACCATCATCATCTTTCCCTCCTATATTTTTATTATTTGAAGTCCTGTCGTCCCAGACTCATCCGTAAATCCACCGTTTATCTTTGAGTTTGCGAGATATTTCCAAGGGTCCTTATATCTTTCCGTTGTATGTCCTCACAATCTCTTCAGTCCACGATAAGCAGGAAGGTCGTTCACGAAAGTAAGCATTCTCATCAGATCCTTGTCTTCACTTCAAACGCTTTAGTGTGGTTATTTGTTGTGAGTTACATGACATATGTGATTATCACATAGTTGTTAGACCAGGTCTGCAGCAGCTGCCAGATAGCTTCACAGCCAACACTGTAGGAAGCCTTTCCAAACTCGATAAAATTTAGGTACAAATTTGGCTGCCATTCTAGACTCTGCTCGACAGTGATACGTAGTGTCGCATGACTTAACTCTCTCCGGTGAAGCTCTCTATCCAATTTACCTTTGGGTCAGCAGGTAGTGGGGCTAGGGCTCAGGTCTAGCGAGGTTGATAGCTACAGATTATTCGTGAGCGTCACTTCTAGTTGAAACCAACTGAAGGCGATCACGAATCTGCGCAAGCAGCCTAACTAAATGGTCTCCTAGACTATTATTACACCAACCAAACCAAAGGCTTTATGCCCAGTAACTCCCACTGAGGCAGTAGTATTTGAAAATGACACCAGGCAGAAGTGCCGTTTGAACTCTCAACTATCTCATCACGGAAGGGAATATAAAAAGTGGACCCTCACTATAGCGGAATTACCATTTGAATGAAGCCTTTCGTCCTCCATCGGAAACCTTAGTTTTATGTTGTTTGTTGAAACTGTTGTTTCCCTATACTGCCAGTGGCGGCATATTTGAAGTCAATTTTTTGGCGCTTAGGGCGCCCAGCTCTTTGTTAGTCTTTTCTTCCTGTGGTATGTTTTCGTTCCAAAGTTTTGTTCATAGTAGTGCTGATAAAATTGTTTTGTGCCATTGATTGTTTACTTTCCTAGTCTAAAATGGAAATTATTTGTTGAACAGTATGTTAGTGTTCGTGATGTTTAAGTATTTACCTCTAAAGTGTTCTCCAGCGTATCGCGTTTATTTCGCCTGCTAAGCAGATCGTTTTCTTCGCCCTCACATGACTAGGAGAACTTATTTTTGTAAAATTGAAATATAAAAGCTAATGTCTGGTGCTCATCCCTTCTTGGGTGGATGTATAGGGTTCACCAAGCCTATGTCGTTTATAGTTTCCAGGATTTAAGAGACACTGAAGAATGTAAGCATTGTCGGGTTGCTAGCAAAATCAGAGTGCAGGTCGCGTGGTCGTTTTACTACTTTGCGGATCACATCTGAAGTCAGAGGCTCGGCAAATGAGTAACCACCTTGGTTTTGTGAACCAATGGAGTGCTTCACCCGGAAAAAATTCTGTCCAAATTCATTGTCACTTTTCATATTGCCTCACCCAAATCCTTTGATTTGTCAAAGGTAGTTGCGTTCGCATACCCCTGGTTTTGGTGACCATGCCCATAAGCGATTTAGAAGGATAGAGTGACCACTAGCAAAGTTTGCTTTCGCGCTTGTAGTTAAACTGCCTTCTAACATGGGGGTACCCGCAAAACGGTTTGTTCCACAAATAGATACATAGAAGGCATCAGCTTCTTGTATACTTTAGTAAGATTCACAACCCCAGAAGTAATGCGCTATGTAGTGTAATCTGGGAGTGGTAGAGCTATGTAGGCTGTCTAAAGTGTAGCGACCCAAACAAATTGTCTAGGATAGTCAGCTGGGTGACTTTATCAAACGGAGTATTGAAATATGAGATGAGGATGATACTTTTAATGTAGTCCGTGCATTTAATCCACGTTTGCACCGTTTTTTAATTTGACTGCTTGTTTAAGACCTTTTAATAGGTAGTTTGCTAAGGTCGCTATACTTCAGTTTAGCCTGAAAACTTACTGTTTTAGTAATGTAACTCACTTAGTCAAGTTAGAGGCATTTAATGCCCAGGTTTTCTTGGACTCATGCATTACCATCGTTTTCACTAATCTCGTAGAAAGTTGAATGTCTCTCAGTTGTGATATAACACGGAATATCTTTTATCGTTGACCACCAATTCTCACTTAGTAGGAAAGGATAGTATTCATGCAGTGACAACAATCGGAGTTTTGAGACCCCATCATAGGTTGTTTAGCTTTTGTTAAGACAACTATATTATTATATTATTTTATGCTTTAATTCCTAGAGGAACATAGGGCTTCAGCTGCGCGTCTCCATTGCGTTCGGTTTTCTGCCAGTTTTTTCACCCCGCTCCATGTCTGCCCACAAGCCTTCATTTCCTCTTCACATGACCTCCAAGTCACCCTTGGACGACTGACTCGCCGCTTCCCGTTCGTGTCCCACTCTAGGGCCTGTCATGTGATGTCACTTGATGGTGTCCTCAGAGAATGGTCAGCCAGTCCACCTCCATTTCTTCCTGCCTATTTGTTGCACAATCGGTTCCTGGTTGGTTCGCTCCCAGAGGTCCCTGTTGCTCATCTTTTCTGGCCATCTGATCTTGAGTAGTATTGAGCGAAGACACCTAGCTGTTAATGAAGGTTGAAGTTTGCTTGAGATGCTCTTTATGACGCGGCGCCAAGTCTCCGAATCGTATAGTAGCACTAACTTCACATTGGAGTTGAAGATCCGGATCTTATTTTTGATGCTGAGTGTTGACCTCCACACAGACTCAAGAGTAATGAAACCTTGTCTTACTTTTCCGATTCTGGCTTTGATATTTTCGTCATATCCGCCCGCTTGTAGTTGAAACGATGCTCCCAGGTAAAGTAGGTGAAGGAGGTTGTTTCTTTCAGGTTCCTCCCATTTGTGCTGATTGTTCTCTGTTGTTGTTGGAGCTGTTAGTGTTGGCTAGGAATCTTCCACACCTCTGTTTTGTCTATGCTCACTTGAAGTCTTATCTTTGATGCTTCTTCTGCCAACTTGTTACTTTTCACTTGCATGTATTATCATCGTTTTCACTAATCTCGTAGAAGAAAGTTAAATGTCTCTCAATGTTAATATAGCACGGAATATCTTTATCTTTGACTGCCGATTCTAACATAGTAGGAAAGGATAGTATTCATGGAGTGACGACATTCATAGTTTTGAGACTCCATCATAGGTTTAATTGAATTTGAGATTTCCCCGTCGATTGATTGAACAGAAGTGCTCGATCTCAGGTTGAAATGTCTATCGGCTTCTTGTGCAGATGCTTCGACGATGTCTGGTCATTTAATTAGAATTTAGTTTGTGGATGGTGACTGGCATTTGTTAAAACAACTATACTTCTATCGTTATTTTAAATAATAAAACTAAGTGTCTTGATTTACGTTTACTCTTTGTAGTATTGATTGATTATTTGACTGTGGACAGTATTATCGTAAAATATTTCGTTACTTGTGACTTTTATATGATTTTTTTAATGAACCTCAGTTGTTATACGAATTCTTCTGTAGTTGATATCCTTCATATGACTTTATGAAAGTGTATACATTGTTTGATACGTATCATTATTATTAAATATTGGAATTTTTTTGCGGGTTGGGAAAATTGAAATCCATCTTGATAAGTTAACTAAAAATGTATATATTTGTAATTCTCAGCACTGATTCTCTCAGCAGATTTTCATACAATTTTTCGATTCTTCCTATAGTGTTAACACGTTCAGTGTTGTAGGATAGTTATCTGCCAGAGGGGTATTAATATTCATTGTCTCGCATTTTTATCCCAAAGTATACTCTATGCCTTTAGATTTGTAACAAGGTAATTCTCTATTGAAAAAATTTCAGATAACCTATCTTCATTACACAATGTCAAATGAATTTAATCTTATCGTGGAGGAAATAAATCCTGGATGGACAAAGAAAAGAATAACTGAGTTATTAAAAGAAGCTGAAAATCGAGAGATTTTATATATGAAATCATGCCAAGCTGATATGGAAAAAGCGGTGGTCCAACTTAGAAATGCTGCATTAAGCTTTATTGCCAAACTACCAACCGAAATACTCAATAAACCTTACTTTCAGGGCATACAACAGTATGAAAATGGTGATGGAAAAAACGTAAGTTATATTAAAAGAAAAAGCAGTAAGTCTTGTTATGTATGCTAAATAAGGTTCTTGTGTACTTGTAATATAGTTATGGTCGGAGACTACTGCTGTTTATTTTCCGATCGATAGCTGCTACCATGGTATGAATGTGGGGTTTACACATCGTAATGACTCAGCGTGCTCTACTAGTTGAAACTAATGTTTCTGCAGGTCCTAAGATGTCAGAAAGATTGTTTGTATAGCGTTTGAACTAAAAGCAGTTGTCATTGTATGAGTTGTCGAAACTATGTTGGGGGCCTGTGGACGAAGTCGTATGGCTGGAAAATAGGGATATAACCTCGGATGACCAGCATGCCAGCTATGCTGCCTGTAGGTGTTGGAGGGTTAGTGAAGGTGGTTTCTGGAAATTCTACATCCCTAATCACCTTTTGGAGATAAGAAAACCACTTCAAAAAGGCCGTCTCTAAGAGACCTTAATCAATTGTCTCCTGGGCATTGCGGTCATTTATGTAACATGAATGCCCCTCCTGTTTTGGGTACTCCAAGAAGAAATCAGCTTCCATGATGTGAACAGCATTGACTCATACTTGTTGCGCACACCGAGCTACCCTTATTCTCTTCGACCAGTGTGCTAGCTAACATAGAATTGGGTTTTGGAAAAGAAATAGGGGTTTGGTCAAAAACCAAAACTTAGAATCAATTCACTGTGTCTTTGACAGTCAGTTTGAGCCAACCGCACAAGGAGATGTAGAATGTCTGTCTGGTTGATGGGGTTCTCTGGATTTATTAATAACCAATGTCTGGAAACTGTTGATATGCTCGCAAATCGGTCTTAATGCCCACAGGTGCATCCAGTCTTTGTAATGTCTCATCATATCCAATAAACCTACATGTCTTTCTGTGTTACTATTCTTCCTTCCGTACGTTTTTGTTTATTGTAGTTCTTTTGAGTGCCTCTTTCCCTTTTTTTACCTTTGAATTCTATGTGTAGTGTGTGGAAACTTAAACTACCGTACTACTATGTAAAGTTGTTCTATATTGAAGCACTTCACCTTACTTCAATAACTTTGGAACTACAGTCAGATTTGTTAGATAAATTGTTATCACTTGGAACTTTTGTTTAGTCTTCTAATCTTTAGTTAGCGTCAACTGTGGACAATATATACTTTTGGCATTTCTGTCTGTCTGTCTGTTTTCGACATAGAACTTTGCACCGATGTGCGGCAGTTCAAGTCGCCACATTCCATGTAGCACACAAAGGAAGAGAAGAAAGTAGAAGAAATGCACAATTTGTTTTCCTTGACGTTCCCCAGTGGAACATAGAGCTTCAAGCTAGTGGCATGGTCGGCTAGCGTCCTAACCGCTATACCACCGACGCATAATAGAGACAGTAAACAGAGGTGTGAGACAAAGGAATAGTAATAAGGAAGAACAATATAGTTTCATTGGAAATCATAAGTCACACGGAGTAGATGCATGTACGCCATTGAGAACGATGAGTTTGAGCCATGTCACCAATTGTTTCCAACCATTGGTTTCTACCGTCTCGAGGACCCCAAGCAGTTAGAAAGTCTACATCTTCCTACATGGTTGACTTCAACTAACTGTTGTGGATTTCATTGACTGGTGAGGCCATGTTTTGCTTTGACCGCCGCTAGCTCTTTTCCAGCCTGACCCTATGTCAGCTAACATTGCCCATTGTTTAGGAAGGCGATGGCTAAGCAGGTATGCATAACACATGTCCTAACCATCTCCGTCGGTGTGACTTCACAGCCTCGTCGATTGACTTCCCCTCCTCACATTGCACTCGACTGAAGCCTAACCTCAATATTGCTCACCCTGTGATACCACCACTTCACATGGGAGATAAAGCGCAGGCACCTATGATCAAAGACAGCTAATGTTTGCATTTGACATTTAGGTATCCTTATGCTGATATGGGGATATTGTTTATCCTGTAACTTTTCCTCCTACACCTGACTGACCTAGTACTTTTGGTTAATTGAAGTGTATTCGCATATCGTTTCGATCTCCCGCATGGTGACTGCTACTAACTAACTGCCTTACATGTTGACATAAATGTCTGTAATGATTTCAGTGTAGATTTCGTTAGTGACATGCCAACATCAGATAGAGAGATCATTTAAAAAAACTGGGAAGCACACTAGACAGCTGTTTCATTCTAGTTTGAAAGTATTCGCCAGTGTACACCCCCTACCTCACTAGAGTTCGAAGCAGAGACCTTCTCAGGTTATAAGACCAAGCTCGATGACGTTTCAGCCACTGAATGCTATCACTTTGTAATGATGTAGTGAGCTACCTTCAACTAATATCTATGGCCCTGACTTCTCTGTTTCTAATGTTCTCTACTTTATATATTGGTTTGTGACAAAATCTACATTGAAAGTAACTCAAATCCCTACGGTTTATTTTTCGTTATTCCCTTGGGTCCCCAGTGGAACATAAGTCTTACAAACCGGTTCTATTTCGCCCTGTTCTCTTCAGTTCTCTTCTGCTGTCTCCACGATTACCCACATGTTTTCACATCTCTTCCTTACATGACCTCCTCCATGTAACCCTCAATACGACACCGAAACCTTCATTTTCCATTCGGGTTCTACTTGAGTCTCTGCCTGGCGCGCGAAAAATGACCCGACGGTCTCCTCAGTATGTGTCTGGTCCATTTCCATTTTCTTTGGTGTGCTTGTTGTTAGTTGGCTCGTTTCTATGGTTTCTTTTTGTCAATTCTTTCTGGCCGGCTGACCATCTGATCTCCAATGTAGAGCCGGGGAAGGCAGCTGTTGATAAAAGTCTGCAACCTATTGGCAGTGGATTTCGTGATGCACCAAGTGTCAAACTCCTATAGAGGAACCGATTCAACATTTGTGTTGAACAGAATCCTAATTTGGTTCTTTATGCTGTGTGCAAAAGATTTTCAAACTGATTTCAGAGTGATGAAGCCTTTTCTTGCCTTTCCAATTCTATATAGCGAAAATTTTTATTCAGACATTTATAAAACACAAAATAATCGAGCAAAGAATATTCTTTTCGATAAATTCCTCTTCTGGCTCTACAATTAGATATCTGTATGTTTATATACACAGAATATTCTAGATTCTCAGTTAATAACAATATGAGTGTTTTTTTAAAATAATATCGATTTGTAAAGTATGATCACGATGGAATTACAGTTCATTAAAGATGTTTAGATTATAATAGTAATAAAGACATAGTAGCGAGTAGAATATCAACTAAATTTAGTGGAATTCCACAAAAATTCTGGATTATCCAAACCTAAATGGCCAAAGTAATGATAATGTTTGAACTAACTTCGTTTGGATGGATAAATTAGGCTTGTTAATATGGATCCCCACAGCCTTAGCAATATTCAGTAGTCGAACTCTTAAGGCAAACTTGAGGCTCGTAGGTATGCGGTAAATGACCCCGAAAGCATGGTTAACGTCAATCTTTTGTTCTGTCTCCACAAGATGAGACAGAATAGCACTGCGAATAGATTTTGTTTACCCTCTGCTTAACCACGCAGGGTGATGTTCGGAAATTCGACGAGAAACACACCTAATTGTACGGCCTACGTAACTGGCTCCACAGGATCGGTTAAATTGGTAGATACACATGGATGAGGCGGAATTAAGCAGTTTGTCTTTTATTCTCGAACGCAGAAGAGGAGTGGTTTTAAAGATACAACGTAATTCAGCAGCAGGGAATGCTCGTTTTACCGCCTTTCTAAGGCGCTGTGTTAGTATCTCGCTGGTGTTGTCCCCAAAGAACTACATCTGTAACAATAAGGCCTTTTTTGGAACTGTTGGTAACTTGGGCTGCTTTGGTTTTAGATGGACTTCTCTGGATAACCATTCTCACTCAGCAACCGTTTAATATTATTCAGTTCTTCATCAAGACATTCGTCCGAGCAAATCGCTCTTGCTCTGTGAACCAGGCACTTTATCGAATTGCGTTTGTATTTCAAGGGCACAAAACTGAGAAAATGTGTCTAGTGGTCCGTTGATGCAGGTTTTCTATAAACACTTCTTATTGTACCATCCTCTTTTCTGGTCATAAAGACGTCTAAAAATGAAACACTAGAGTCTTTTTCTGTCTCGATGGTAAAATTTATTGCAGGATGTACCTCATTAAATTTATCCAGGATGTTCTTTGCTTCCCTCTCGTTTTTCATGATCGAAAAAGTATCATCCATGTACCATAGATCATACTTTACAAGTCGATATTATTTAAAAAAACACTTATTGTTATTAACTACTAATCTAGAATATTCTGTGTATATAAACATACTGTCAGTCTGTCTGTTTTCGACATAGAACTTTGCACGAATGTGCGGCAGTTCAAGTCGCCACACTCCGTGTAGCACGCGAAGCAAGAAAAGAAAGTACAAGAAGAGCATAATAGAGACAGTGAGCAGAGGTGTGAGACAAAGGAAGTAATAAAGAAGAACAAAACAGTTTCATTGGAGATCATAAGTCACACGGAGTAGATGCATCTGCGCTAGCCACTGAGAACGATTTTGAGTCATGTCACCAATTGTTTCCAACCATTGATTTTTACCGTCCCGAGGACCCCAACCAGTCAGGAAGTTTACACCTTCCTACGTGGCTTAGACCAACTGTTGTGGATTTCATTGACTGGTGCCAAGTTTTTGTTTGACCGCCGCTAGCTTTTTTCCAGTCTGACCCTATATCCGCTAACATTGCTCGTCGAGGGAGGCGATGGCTTGGCATACGTAACACATGTCCTAACCATCTCAGTCTTTGTAACTTCACGACTTCGTCGATTGATTTCCCCTCTTTAGCTAGCACTCGACGTCTAACCTCAATGTTGCTGATGATACTTCCCAAATAAGTGAAGCGGTTAACGTGCTCTACCACTTCACTTCCTATTTTGAAACTAGGCGTCGATGTAGTCCAGTCCTGTAACATCATCTTGCATTTGGCGGGAGCGAATCGCATATAAACATACAGATATAATTGTAGAGCCAGAAAAGGAATTTATCGAAATGAGTATTCTTTCCTCGATTATTTTGTGTTTCCGATTGTAGCTGGTGTCGCCATCTTCATCCCTTCCGCCTATAGTTGAAACGGCGCTTCCTAGATAAGTGAAGGCAGGAAGTAGCCTCTTTCAAAATTCTCTCTACGACAGTGATTGATGCAGCCTGTTGTTGGTGTTTGGTTATCTTCATCACCTCCGTCTTCTCTATGTTGACCTGAAGTGCTGTCTTCGTTGCGTCTTCAGCTATTGTGTTGTTTTTCGCCTGTATATCTTCGTGTGTGTGTGTGTGTGATCTTCTAGAGTCTTTTTATTGGTTCAACGTACTCCTGTCTTTTCGCATCCCACAGTCTGACGCATAATCAAGTCCATCCACAATTTTAAGATTGTCATGCGTGAGAGTAGGTGGTGGCCTTGTCTTATTCCATTTTTCATTTCAAATACTCTCAGTTTTCCTGGGTGGATCATTTGACATATAGCATTGTTGTATAGCTGTTGAATGGGATTATAGAGAAGATTTGAGGCACTCCATAGTGTTGAAATAGCTTATAGATTACTTCTCTCTCAGTAGAGTTGAGGTAGGTAGATAGAGATTCGACTGCTACTCAACACTCTTTTCGATCATGATGATAATGATGCTTAGTGTTACAATTTGATCCGCACATGAATTACTCTTCTTGAATGCCGTGTGTTCCTTTTGCAGTTCTGCATCAAAATCTCTACAAAATCCCAGAATCTAGATATTTTTTATTATCACTGACTTATCGTGAGGGATAGTGAATTATTGTTTTCAAAAGAATGGATACTGAACAAAGAGTACTCTTTTCGATAACGCCTTCTTCATCAGGCTCTACAGCTATATATCCATTCATAGTAGTGAATGAATTAGTGTTATGAACAACATTAATGTTCCTGTTTAAATAACATCGAATCAATAATATTGATAGATTACACCTCAATAGAATCAACATAACAATACACACTGAATGTCAGAAAAATTAGGAAAGATAGTATTACAAATTCATGAATTTTTAGTCTCTACTGAAGGCCAGCCAGGGCAGTAGTAGGGGCTGGCTGGACTTGCTTATTTTGAACACAGACCACTGGTTGCTTAAGGCGAATTGCAATAACCTCTACTGTTTGGAGCATGTGGTGCTTCGGTGATTTCGGCAATTTATTAGGCACCCGGTAGATTATAGAGAATTATTCTTCCACGCTGACTTTGTGGCAAGTTTGCACCAGATGGTCCAATATCGAACTGTTAATGGTTTTCATTACACCTGTACTTAGCCATATTGGGATATGTTCTCGAGCAAGCACGAAAAATCAAGCTCCTAGAGCAACGGCCAATATAACTCGCTCCACAAGCGCAGTTTAATTGGTAGATACAATTTGAAGTGGCTAGTCTAGGTACTTCATCTTTCAGTCGAGGTAGCACCATCAGTCGTGTAGAGAATAATACGTGTAGTTTGCCAGCATTAAAAGTTCTTTAATTTCTTTGTAATTATCTCACTTGGTATATCGCCCTTGAATTGTAGTCGTATATGAAGACGCTTCTTGTTTACAGACAGTGAGTAGTCCTTTTCAGCTTTCGTTGTTACGTATTTCTTGATAAATTTGTCGTATGAGCCATTTTCGATCAAAGTATCATATACAATGCTTAATTCATCTTCAATTACTTCTTCTGAACATATAGCTCTAACTGTGTGGCTGAGGGTCTTCACTAAATTTGTTTTGTACTTGATAGGAACGAAGCTGGGAAAATGTGCATATTGTCCTGTCCAAGTACTTTTTCTATGCAAATTTCTTTTTATGCTACCATTTGGTTTTCTTGTAAGTAAGACATCCAGGAAGGCAATTCTGTCTGTCTTGGGATTCCTCTTCGCATGTGAATTTCATAGCCGAATATACTTCATTGAATTCAGCAATTCGCCTCAAACAACTAGTGCTCTGTGTTCAAAAGAAGCAAGTCCAGCCAGCCCCTACTACTGCCCTGGCTGGCCTTCAGTAGAGACTAAAAATTCATGAATTTGTAATACTATCTTTCCTAATTTTTCTGACATTCAGTGTGTATTGTTATGTTGATTCTATTGAGGTGTAATCTATCAATATTATTGATTCGATGTTATTTAAACAGGAACATTAATGTTGTTCATAACACTAATTCATTCATTCATTCACTATAATGTTGTATATATAACTGTAGAGCCTGATGATGAATTTATCGAAAAGATTACCCTTTATTCAGTATCCATTCTTTTGAAGATTTAATTTTTAGTGTAATATTGACGATGTATGCATTTATAATGTATTCATTTTCTAAAACATAAAGGATTTTTGCTTTGAGCTAGGTATATATGGAGAGACAAAGGTGTAAACTGTGTCGAAACGCTAAGAATGAATGTTTGATGACTGTGCGTGCTATCGATGAAAATTGTTCTTATTGGTACAGATAGATTCGGTCTTTATAATATCTTATATCTATTAGACCCTCCTAGTGTTCTATACTACTCTTCTTTTTTCTTTAAGGATGCCTATTTTCCTCATTCTTGCTTAATTTCATCATAGATGTACTTAAGGAATTAAGCCTAACTGTTGACTTCACCTACTCAGGGATTGACTTGTTACCGTCAGGGAATAATCTGGTTGACTTAGAATATGCGGATGATATAATCCTTCTGGTTGGAAATGCTGACAAAATGCGGCAGAGTTTTCTGAACACCTTGAACAGCAGGAACCTCTGAATGTTTGGTATACAATTCGTTCATGCTGTTAAAAGTAAGATTATGTTACAGTACTGGACTATAATGACTTCTAGCTTGAAGATAAGCAGTGAAGTGGTTGATGCAGCGTGTCGACCACTTCACTTATTTGGGGGGGGGAGTTGCATCAGCCACAGAGGGTTGAACACTGACGAAATTTCGGCTCATTCGCTAGACGCCAACTCACTCCATCTCTAACGTAGACGTGATATCCGGTAGGCTGACTGACTGGCTGTCGACCAAAGGACGTGTGTACTGCTCAGCAGTCCGCTTCGCCCTCCTTTATGGCTGGCTGGCTGGCTGTGAGACCTGGCCATTGAAATTGGAAGATATGAAAAAGCCAGTTAGCTGTCTTTGATCATAAGTGTCTGCGTTTTATCTCCCGTGTTAGGTGGTGGTATAATAGGGTGAGCAATATTGAGGTTAGGTATCCAGTGAGTGCTAGGTGAGTTGGAGGGGACCTCAATCGACGAGGTTGTGAAGTTACATTCGTTGAGATGGGGTTAGGGCATGTGTTGCGTATGCCTAGCCCATAACCTTCCTCGACAATGGGCAATATCAGCTGACATAGGATGGACCAGGTTGGAAAAGAGCCATTGGTGGTCGTCAAACTAAAAACATGGCTTCATCAGTCAATGAAATTAAAAAAAAAATAGTTCGTTTAAAAGCAGCCGGGCAGCTACTTAGGGAGTTGTAGACTGACTTCCTACTTGGAGGAGTTCTTGAGATGGTAAAAACCAGTGAACAAGGGTGAAGACGATTGATGGTATGGCTCAAAATCGTCGTTGTCAATGACTGGCGCAGATGCATTCACTTCTTGTGATGTATAATATCCAATAAAATTCTCTTGTTCTGCCATATTACTGTTCTTTTTGTCTCATATTTCTGTTTATTATCTTTCTCTCTCTTTCGAATCTCTCTTTAACTCTCTTCTTTTGCCTTGTGTGCTGCATGGAGAGAGTATGGCATCTGAAAGTGCTGCACATCCGTGCAAAGTCTCCTCTGTTGTGGAACCAGTCAAGTAACAATATATAACACTGTTGTCAATTATGTTAACTGAACTTTAAAAGTAGCATTTATCAGTATGTTAATTCCTTTCCTACCTGTTCATTTTCAATCTTTCCTTTGTTCAACATTATACTACTTGCCATTAGTAAGTAGTATGATTTTATATGTTAATTTATAACAATGACATTTGCTTACAACTGCAGTTAAATTACTTGTATTATCATTCTATTAATGTATAGTTCTTATTTTTCTTCTCCTTAAACATTATTTGCTGCATTTACCCTATAGTGTATGCTTTACTATTGAAAGTTGTTTGTTCATATTTGTTTATTCTTTGCTTGGCATTCGCGGGCAGTTTGAACCGACGCGTGGATCGACCTTGACACAGCATTGCTGTTTTTACTTATTGACTGCACATTGGTTGTGCATTTGACGGCATTCAGCCACAGACACCTCACATTTTGAGGTTTGTATATTATATATCTATTTTTATGTAATAAAGTACCGTATTGCAGAATATCCTGTATTTTGGACTTTACGCGTCACTCTACGTGTGGTTAAATCTATAGTTTGGATTATCGTTTCGGATTTCTTTCGGGAGAAATTCACACAGTATGTGTTGTATATTTTTATTTATTTTTCAGATAGTTGACCAGTTAGTATGCGAAGCAAAGAAACGCGGTCGAATGGAATGGGAAGACACTGTTAAAACACTAACCGGGAAGAGACCACGTCGAGTAAGTACAAAAGTGTTAATCAGAATTTTCAAACAAAAGTTAACGCACAATTCATTAATCCCTTTGTTGTTCAAAGAGTCATCTCTTCCATATATTTATATTTAGGGTTTCAAAGAATAATAAAGATCCAATGTTTTGGGCATTTAATGCACTATTGTTAATGTCACAACAACTATAATTTCTCTCATCAATGTTTACACCAGAAATAATGGTTGGGGACGAGTGTTTTTTTAGAATGATTTGAGCCATCCGTTTGACTAAAACACATTCTAGAGTTATTTAATTGAAAGTTTAGATTTTCCCGTCGATTGATGATTGGACCGAAGTGCTTACTCGATCTCAGGTTGACATGTCTGTCGGCTTCTTGTGCGCAGATGCTTTGACGATATCTGGACATCCTGGATTCTTCCACTGCTAGTCACCATCCACCAGTTAAATGCAAATTACATGCCCAGACATTGTCGAAGCATCTGCACAAGAAGCCGACAGACATGTCAACCTGAACCGAGTAAGCACTTCGGTCCAATCATCAATCGACGGGAAAATCTAAACTTTCAATTAAATAATTAATATGACCTGTTGCACAAGAGGTGGTGGCTCTTGTGGCCCATGTGGTCGTCTAGTGGATAACACTTTGGCGTTTGAAACTCTGTGGGCACTGGGTTCGAACCTCGGTGGTGGGAACATCGTCATTCACTGGGGAATGCAGGTACATCCAGCTGGCAGACGAGTCCCAAATAGGACGAAATGCGCGTTATCCTGGATTCCACTGCTAGTCACCATCCAGCAGCTAAATTCTAATTCTAATAAAAGCAGTGTAAAATAATTTATGAACATCTCTTTATGCTGCGATGATGATGATAAGCTATGGTTTTGTAACAAGCGCATCGATTTTCATGAAAATCTTTTGTGTAAGTGATCGCCCCCTGGTAAATGCTTGTTCTTGCTGAATAAATATGAAAAGTTATAATGCATTGTTTTTGTTAGTCAGGCTTCAAACCCAACTGCACCTACCGCATTGTGGACAGCCAGGTAGTATCACACTAACCCTGACACACACACATACACACACGCAATAGGTTCGGCTCATTGCCAACTGCATGGAATTCCAAGTGATTAGCGCTGACATGAGTCAGCCTGAACAAAATGTCTTACGATCAATAATTTAACGCGCAAGTGAATTCTGTTCTGGTCTTCAATAAAAATCTGGGTGTGTCTGTGTAGATATGAAACTTGCATAGTAACGCGTCGGAAAATGGCTTCTTCCTACTTGCTTTGATTTAAAAAAAAATTATCAATAAAGCAAGCTTGGCACATTGTGGGCGCCAGGAAATGCGCCACACAAAATGTCGTAGTTTGTGCGAGAGCTGGAATACTTCCCGGATGCCCAGACTAAAGCAGATGGTTATTTCAAGGGGCCAGCTCCTCCGAGTCGATAACTTAAAGTCTGATTCACAACGCCCTGTGGAACAGCATCAGAAGTCAAGTCCTCATTGTTCCCGGTGATGTAAACAGGTCCATGCACCATTCGATCTGTTTGGATTGTGGAGCTTCCCAGGGACTTTCCAACTGCCCTCAGTAGGCCTGTACATCTAAGAGTCCCGTTGTGGTTGCCAGACGTTCAGATTCTCTTACTTTTGTGAAAGCAGTGAATAAGACTTACCTAGAGGAGTCTATGAACGCGTATGACCGTATGAGAACATTTCGAGAAGAGAACTGGAGTTGTCTACTCATCCTCGGCTGTACCAAATCATTTATAGGGACCGACTTGCTTTAAACTGGGCGGTGGTAGATTATCTCAAGAGATTTTTAAAACATGTATTTTTATTTCTTTGTGCTCTTTGGAAGTCGTTTTGGTTCATTTTGTTTTGTCGAGGGCTAATCATCGTCATCAGAATGATCATAGGTAATAACGGTTGTTTAATTAACTGAAATAGTTGGAAATCTTTCGTCTATAGCCCCAGGCTATGAATTTCCAGCATTTCTACTATGCCAGTGTGTGTGTATGTGTGTGTGGGGGTGGGTGGGGGGAAGAGGATGGCTAAAATCACTTGGTATTGATCTTACTCCACTGTCTGTCTATCTTCCAGTGTAATAATTTCTCAGATTACAAACTAAAAGCGAATCGTTACTGGACAACCACTTGCATATCTTTGTAGGTGACACTGAACCATACCACTTATAGTGTGTTAGGGCTAGTGATACTACTACGCGACTGCACCTAACCTCTCGGTAGGTGAAGCTGGGGTTCAAGCGCTTGATACGTTGGTTAGAGGTTGAGCCCCCACCCCTCACTATTACACTGTCTTCACTTCAAGTGTGTTAGGACGATGGACAACTTGTCGTTGTTAGCTGTGAAGTCATAATTGATGTATGTATGCACTGACATGATAACCTGATTGATTGGACAATTTTTTATTTTTTAATTTTGGGAGGATTTCCAAGCTCATACAACTGATGAGATATTGATTTTTTATTTTCGACTTGAATTTCCGAGGACTTGTAAACTCTATATATATCCTGTATTTTGAATAATAGTAATAGGTTCTTTCTGTTTTTCTTTGTTGTTGCAGTTAAGTTTGACTTTTGTGTCTATTCCTTAGTGTGGGGGGGGGAATCAGTAACACTTTGTTATAACCAATTTGACACCTTTAAAAAAGATATTCAATTGGGTGACCACTGGAAGATATTTGTAGGCCTGGATAGTCTCTCCGTCTATGACATTTCTGTATGCGTGTGCACACTTCAGGAAAGCAGGCGGAGGTTAGGCTTCAGATGAGGGTGTATTAATCACCATGCCTCTCTCTCTGCCTGTCGTCGACAGGCTCAAAAACGGAAATCGTACCTATTGACATCAAACAATTAGCATATTTCCCTATCCAAAGGCGGAATCAACTTCATAGATGTAGAAGTGGTATAATTGTGGAAAGAGTATCTAAAAAAAGCATATGGCTAAGCATAATAGGGTACTTCCCTCGAACTCATTCATACCGCTGTTTATGAGCTTATGGAATGTTTCTGCGTGAATTGATGATAAGTAGCGCGTTGTCCATTATTGTAAATGGTCAACTTCAGTGTTACACGAGTTGATATACTACCATGTAAAGGTGTCATTGATGGATAATATTCAGGTGATAGATACTGTACTGACAAAAATGCATTCTTTTGATGCATACCTTGGTAAATTAGTCTGAATTTATTTGGCATACTATTCCTGTAAGACTAGTCCAACCTGCGTCATCGTTAGTGTGGTTGTGATGACCAATTATCAGTCCTACAGTTCCCTCCAGTTGAACATGGAGAAAACAGAAGCGATGAAGATTCCTGGCCAACAGCAACAACAACAGATAACAATCAGGATACATAAGAGATATCTGAAAGAAGCAATCTCGTTCACCTACCCACCTACCTACCTGGCAAGCATTATTTCAAATACAGGCAGAACTAATGAGGATATCAAAGCGATGATAGGGAGGGTAAGACAAACTTTTATCACTCTCAAGTCTGTTTGGAGATCAACACTACTCAACATGAAAAATAGGATCCGGATTTTCACCTCCAATGTGAATTCAATGGTACTCACTATACGGATCAGAGACTTGGCGCGTCATGAAAAGCACTTCGAGCAAACTACACACCTCTGTCAACAGCTATCTTCACTCGAGACTATTCAAGATCAGATAACCGGCCAGAAAACATCAGTAGCAGATAGAGATCTCTGGCAATGAACCAACGAACCAATCCATCAGGAACCAATTGTGCAAGAAATATGCGGGAAGAAATGGAGGTGAATTGGCCACACTCTGAGAAAACCACCGAGTAAGTGGATCACACGCCAGGCCATTAGTAGAGTAAAACCCGACCGAATGGGAAGTGGCGATTTGGTGGTCACTGTGAGGAGGAGGTGATGAGAGGAGCATGTGGGCATACATGGAGCCAGGTGAAAACGTGTGGCGGAGAACCGGGAGCAGTGGAGACGTGCGGCTGTGAAGCCCTATCTATGCTCCTCTAGGAACTAAAGCAAATAACATTATAATAATACAGTTCCCTACTCGTGTTATCTTATTTTAAAGAGACAATTCCAGTTGATTGTAAAGGTGTTAAATAATAAATATTTGATCAACACAGGCTGTGATTACGTCACAAAGCAAGAGATAAGCATTTCATGCTTGGGATATATACTTCCTCTCTGACAGATTAGATAATTTTCAAGGCAGTATTGGTCAACTTAATATAATGACATCACTACTACTGTGTCACAGTTGTAATTTTATGCATAGATCTTTTCAGAGCTTAACCATCTCTTCTTGTGTCAAATCGACGTTCAGAAATGGAAACTCTAATTCATTTCCTAATTCCATTATAAATTTAATTGAAGGGTGGTAACTGTTAACTTCTTTTAAGATACAGTTTAAATCGGAATCATCATCTTCATGTATCTATTGGTTTGTAGGGATTTGATTGATTGGTTACAGGATTTCATCATGAGTGGACATTGGTTAGAGAACCATTGGAAAACCAACTGGAAGTACTGGACAGCCAGCTTTTTCGTCAGCCCAGTTTAGGACTCTTCAACAGCACGTATCCACCAGGGTTCAAACCCAGGGCTCCATTGGGAAGTCGTGACCAGTAGTCTGTCTGTCTGTTTTCGACATAGAACTTTGCACAAATGTGCGGAAGTTCAAGTCGCCACATTCCGTGTAGCACGCGAAGCAAGAGAAGAAAGTACAAGAAAAGCATAATAGAAACAGTGAGCAGAGGTGTGAGACAAAGGAGTAATAAAGAAATACAAAACAGTTTCATTGAAGATCATAAGTCACAGGGAGTGGATGCATCTGCGCCACTGAGAACGATTTTGAGCCATGTCACCAATTGTTTCCAACCATAGATTTTTACCGTCCCGAGGACCCCAGCCTGGAAGTCTACACCTTCCTACGTGGCTTAGACCAACTGTTGTGGATTTCATTGACTGATGCCAAGTTTTTGTTTGACCGCCGCTAGCTTTTTTCCAGCCTGACCCTATATCCGCTAACATTGCTCGTCGAGGGAGGCGATGGCTTGGCATACGTAACACATGTCCTAACCATCTCAGTCTTTGTAGCTTCACGACTTCGTCGATTGATTTCCCCTGTTTACCTAGAACTCTACGCCTAACCTCCATGTTGCTCACCTTATTATGCCACTTTACACGGGAAATAGAACGCAGGCACCTATGATCAAAGACAGCTAGTCTTTTCATGTCTTCCACTCTCAGTGGCCAGGTCTCACAACCATAAAGGAGGACGGAGCGGACTGATGAGCAGTACACCCGCCCTTTGGTCGATAGTCGAACATCTCGTCTACGCCAGAGTCGGCGTAAACTAACAAATGCGAAACGAGCCCCTTGTATTCGTGCTGAGATTTCGTCAGAGATCAGCCCGTTGGGGCTGATGGTACTTCCCAAATAAGTGAAGCGGTCAACGTGCTCTACCACTTCACTTCCTATTTTTAAACTAGGCGTCGATGTAGTCCAGTCCTGTAACATCATCTTGCATTTGGCGGGAGCGAATCGCATGCCAAACATTCGTAGATTGCGGCTCAAGGTGTTTAGAAGACTCTGCATTTCGTCAGCGTCTTCGCCTAGAAGGACTATATCGTCTGCATATTCCAAGTCAACGAGATTATTCCCCGGTAGCAAGTCAATTCCTGAGTCGCTGAAGTCACCTAGGGTTAAGTCCATTAACACATCTATGATGAAGTTGAATAGAAAAGGAGATAATGGGCATCCTTGACGGACACCACTGGTCGTCATCAGTTCAGATGACAGCTCGCCGTAAGCCCTCACCTGGCTGTATGAGTACGAATAGAGTGCCTTAATCAGTGCAATATATTTTCTTGGAATTCCCTTTACAGCCAAGCATCTCCAGAGAACTTCCCGATCGACAGAGTCGAATGAAAAAAAAAAAAAAAAAAAAAAAAAAACTGTTGGACGCCGGTAGGAATGCCTATGTTCTAGAATCTGTCGGAGGGTGAAGATATGATCAATACACCCTCTTCCTGGTCTAAAGCCTGCCTGGCTCTCTCGTGTTTGTGCTTCCCGAGCACCACTCAGTCTACGCATGATTATTGAGCCTAAGACTTTAGATACTATATTAGTCAAGCTAATCCCTCTGTGATTATCACAGGAAGACTTGTCTCCCTTCTTGTATATGGGGATAATCAGTGACTTACACCAACCCGATGGGACTTCTTCTGATTCCCAGACGCTGCCTAGTACCTCAGTTAATCCGGACAGTAAGCTGTCTCCACCGTACTTAAATACCTCTGGCGTCATTCCATCAGGTCCCGCTGCTTTGCCTAGTTTCAGATTGGTGACAGCTTTAGTAACCTCAGTTAGTGACGGAGGACCTGTGTCTATATCCCATTCAGGGAGGTGTTGGATGCTCGGAAGGTTGAGCGTGGCTGTGGGCAAATTAAACTGCTCCTCATAATGCTCTTTCCAACGATCCAGTCGTCTATCCTGTGAGCTAATTATAGTGCCATTTTTTTCCGAGATTGTCTCACTAATGATTTGTCTTCTCCCACCCGTTTCCCTGATGAGTCCAAAGAGTTGCCTGGTGTTGCCTATCCTCAAGCTTTCTCCATCTCTTTGGCTTTTGTCGCCCACCACTGTTCACGGTCCTTGCGGAGACTTTTCGTAAGTTTCCTCTTGTGCAGCTTTCGCTCCTCATTGAATTCGGAGCTCGCCGGAATAAGTCTTCTAGCATCTATCAGTTCGGATGAGGCGGTGGAGATCCAGTGGTTTTTACTCACCTTTGGGTTTACCTTATTCACAGCTTTTACAGCTGTATCTATGGCTGCCTGGATATTTTTCCAAGCTTCTTCAGGGTGAGCACAGCTGTCGAACACAGATATGTGTTTAGCTAGTTCTTCCTGAAATACGGATTTAGTTTCCTGATCGAGCTGGGGACGTGATGGTTTTACCGCCAGCTGTTTCCTACGTCCGTTCAGTCGTAAGCACACCCGAGCGCGGACCAGTGCATGGTCGGTATCTACGCACGTGTTCCAGAAGGAGCGACAATCTCCTACCGACCCACGCCAACGATAGCTTATTGCTATGTGGTCTATTTGTGTCCAGCGTTGGTTTGATGAAGGGGGTCTCCAAGTCAAACAGTGTCTCTCCTTGTGTTTAAAGTTAGTGCTTACAAGAAACAAATGATTATCAGAGCAGAACTGTAGGAGACGGTCACCGTTGTCGGTTCGCTGGCACGGAGCTCCATAGGTGCCACCGACATCCTTCTCAGATTGACACAATTTCCGTGACCAGTAGTAGAGTGCAGCGGGTTGGATGTGAGGGCAAACACTCGCCGAAGACATTGGCTAGCGGTCGCGTTATATCGTGAATTGGCAGAAGTTGAAATTCATGGGTTGGTTAGTGGATCGGGCCCCAGTTGCTTAATGGTCTACGAGCTAGCTCGCCTTGTAACCAGAAAGTCTTGTGGGTGCGTACTGCTGAGGAGTCCCAAACTGGGCTGACGAAAAAGCTGGCTGTCCAGTTCTTCCAACTGGCTTTCCAATCATACTCTAACCGATGTCAGCTCATGATGAAATCCTGTAACTAAGAAATTATCCTCTTTTGTATACCTTCCGTACAGCAGCAATTTGTCGTTTGTTGATTTTAAGAATCCTATTTTTCAAACTATCAACAAAATAGTCTGCCAAAAGTGGGTTGTAAGCGGAGAGCCCTCTGACAATTCCACCTTCCTCTCTGTAGATATTGTCGTTGAAGGTTAAGTGTACATTAAATGTGCATCTGAATAACAACTCTTTCAGATATGAAAGATATGGTATTCCACTGCTCAGATTTATATCCTCCATATAATTTGAACAGGAGAAACTAATTGTTTTTGCCAGTGGCACGTTGATAAATAGAGATTCTATGTGCAGTGATAACACACTTTTGGCATTTACATTCCAAATATTTTATACATTCAACAAATTTAAACGAATCTCTCAGAGGGTACTTACACAGTTTGTTGTCTCACAAGCTCCTAACATTTCAGACAACCATTTAGCCACTGGTGACACCAATATATATCTAAAATTTTCAAGAGTTTAGTTTGTTTATACGAGTTTGACCACTGATTGATATCATCAGTTAGAAAACCACTGAAAACCAGCAAGGAGTACTCGGCAGCTGCTGTTTCATCCTAGTTTGGTAATCATCGGCAGTACGCACCCACACCACGGGGGTTAGAACCCAGGACTTTCCGGTTACAAGGCAAGCTCGTATATCATTCATTGTAGGTCCCACGGATAACATTCGTTAGTGGTCGCGCTCAATCACAAATTAGTAGAAGTTAGAATTTATGGGATGGTCTCTCAACCGGGTCCCTACCTTGTAACCGGAAGGTCTTGGATTCGAGCCCCGCGGCGTGGGTGCGTACGGACCGATGATTCCTGCTGGTGAAACAGCTGTCCAGTACTCCCTGCTGGTTTTCAGTGGTTCTCTAACTGATATATCAATCCGTGGTCAAACACGTATAAACATATCTAAAATTGGTCAAACTGTGGCAGATCAAGTTTTGTGTACCTTTGATAGATTGAAGAGTCGGTGGGGATGGGGGTGATAATTGATCTCAGTTGGTCTCAGACATTCGAAAAGGTCTTCAGATAGTTTTACATCTGTCTTCATGTCATGATGAGTCCGATTTAAATTGTATCTTACTTACTGGAGTTTAGTAATTGCCATCCTTGATTTAAATTCACAATGGAATTAGAAAATGAAGCAATTGTAATTCTCAAAAACCATATAGGGAGGAGGTGGGGGAGGAGCGGTGAGGACACTAGGAGTAAGTCGTACTTCCCACTACTATTTACACTAATTATTGAAATTATTATTAATGTTAAAAATATCTCAAACTTAACCCTTTTTTCTGCATTTGTTATGATTTACTTTTTTTCTTTCTGTTAATTGAATATCAGTTAGCCGGTGATGAAAGAAGACAACCTGTTGCTTCTACTCCGATTGTAATCCCTGAAGACAAAGTACTTCCCACAATGTCAACGGTGATAGATCAGACAACGGAAGTAGCAAGTACTCCTATCAATGAAGGGCGTAGAATTACACGTACAATGCTTTCCCGGATTACTCATAATTCTACAACAATGAATCCTCCTATAATGACTGTTAGTAAAAGCGTCAAATCAAATCCTGTACGGAGGATTTCCAGAGAAATGAGGGTAAGTCAAGCCTCCCCACCCTCTACCTCCAAGCTCTAATATTTTCCTCTTTTCAAGTGTGTATATCTTTATGTTTTAGAAATGTATTGCAATCTACGAATGTTTGGCATGCGATTTGCTCCCGCCAAATGTAAGATGATGTTACAGGACTGGACTACACTAATAGAAATAGGGAGTGAAGTGGTAGAGCACGTTGACCGCTTCATTTATTTGGGAAGTACCATCAGCCAGTGCCAACTGGTTGGTTTCGCATATGCCAGTTTATGCTGTCTCTGGCGTATACGTGATATCCGGCTATCGACTAAAGGGCGGGTGTACTGCTCACCAGTCCGCTCTGTCCTCCTTTATCGCTGGCTGTGAGACCTGGCCATTGAGAGAGGAAGATATCAAAAAATTAGCTGTCTTCGATCATAGGTGCCTGCGTTCTATCTCCTGTGTTAAGTGGTGGTATAATAAGGTGAGCAATATTGAGGTTAGGCATAGGTCGAGTACTAGGTAAGGAGGGGAAATCAACCGACGATGCTGTGAAAGTACATCGACTGAGATGGTTAGGACATGTGTTACGTATGCCTAGTCGTCGCCTTCCTCGAGTGACGGGCAATGTTAGCTGACATAGGGTCAGACTGCAAAAGAGTTAGTGGAGGTGGTCAAACCAAAACACGGCTTCACCAGCCAATGAAATCCACAACAGTTAGTTTAAGCCAGCCATGTAGGAAGATGTAACTTCCTGACTAGCTGGTTGGGGTCCTCAAGACGATAAAAACCAATGGCTGGGAACAATTGGTGATATGGCTCAAAATCGTAGTTGTCAATGGTTGGCACAGATGCATCCACTCCCTGTGACTTATGATTTCCAGTGAAACTATATTGTTCTTCGTTATTACTATTCCCTTGTCTCATCTCACACCTCTGTTTACTATCTCTATTATGCATTTCTTCTACCTTCTTCTTTTGCTTTGTGTGCTACATGGAGGGAGTGTGGTGACTTGAACTGCCGCACATTGGTGCAAAGTCCTATGTCGAAAATAGACAGACAGCAATATGTTGCAATCAGTGCAAAACTGGGATAGAACCCTACTTTAAGTTTAGGATCAGACATACGGGTTTTTATTGTTGTATATTGTTTGGAATTCCATTATTCGGAACAGCTGTTTCATATACCAGGCTAAGACTCACCTTAATCTCCCGTGTGTGTGTGTGTGTGTGTGTGTGCTTGTCGGCTGATGATACTACCCAGTTGCCCAGGTGTGATGTTGGTTGAACGCTAATCGAATTCATGGCAACTTGTCAGGTGAGAACTGAATGACCAAATCAGCGAATCAAATTTCCCCTTTATAAAAAGTTCATACTGTTTTGCATAAAACCTACCACTTCCCGTTAACATCATTCGTTGAGAAAGTTCACAGTTCACCGTGTTTCCTATCTGATGTATTACAAAAACTCGAAGGTTTATAGATGAAAACCAATAGGAGGTAATGCAGATAAGAGTGTAGTGGATATTGAGAAGACAGAAGAAGTGATGAAGATACCCTCTGACGAACAATTTAACTGACCACCTGCAGGCACGCTCAACTTACCGAGCATCCAACATTTCCCTGAATGCAATATATAAACTCTAGCCCTTCGTCCGTAACTGAGGTTAGAAAAAGCTGTCTTTAATCTGATGAAATGACTCCAGAGATGTTTAAGGACGGTGAAGACAATTTACTGTCCGGGTTAGCTGAGGTAACAGACAATGTCTAGGAGTCAGAGATGGTCCCATTGGGTTGGTGTAAGTCATTGATTATTCTGGTTTACAAGAAGTAAAACAAGTCTTCTTGTGGTAGTCACAGGGGTATTAACTTGATCAATATAGTATCTCGAGTTCTAGGCTCAATAATCTTGGATAGACTAAGCGGTACTAGGGAAGAACGAACTCGAGAGAACCAGGAAGATTTTGAAACAGGAAGAGTTTGTTTTGATCATATCTTCACCCTTCGATGGGTCCTGGAATATAAGCATGCTTGCCGGCATCCAACGGTCGTCATATTTGTTGACCTGAGAGCGACATTGGATTCTGTAGACAGAGAGGTACTATAGCGATGTTTGGCCGTAAATTGATTGCCGAGCAAATACATCGCACTGATCAAGCCACTCTACTCGAACGCATGGAGCTAAGTAAGAGCTTACAGAAAGTTGTCATATGAAGCGGAGACAACCAAGTGGTGTCGGTCAGGGGTGCCCACTATCCCGTTTCTATTCAATTTCATCACAGATATGGTACTAATGGATTAAACCCTAACTGACTTTAGCGACTCAGGGATTGACTTGTTACCATCAGGGAATAATCTCGTTCACGTAGATTATGGAGATGTGATATAATCCTGCCTGCTAGGTGTAGACGCTGACAAAATAGAGCAGATGAATTGTTGCTATGAACGCATAAAGGTGGTTTCAACTTTCTAACTGCCAGCTAGGGCTTCCACAAACTTTAGTATACACCCTCCCCAAACATGTTTTATAGATAGATTTAAAAGATGTGTTAACGTCAATTTTATGTCCTGTCTCTATAATATATTTCGCAATAGAGGAGCTAGGTCTCCTCTTCTCACCATTAATGGGTTCTGAAGATTCTGTTTGCTTCTGGAGCCATTTAAGAATATTCCTGAAACCAACCCTTGCTTGCAGAGATCGATGAGTCCACACGTACATTCAAATTGATAAATACGGTAGAATGTGACATCATTTTTCGCACGTTCTGAATGAGGGCTTAGATAAATATATTGGCTTCACATTCTCAATTATTATGATATTAGCTGCATAAAAAGTCTTTTTAACCACAGCAGCGTTCAATCTTTGTCTAGTCATAAAGCTGCTATGTCTGTCTGTTTTCGACATAGGACTTTGCACCTATGTGCGGCAGTTCAAGTCACCACACTCCCTCCATGTAGCACACAAAGCAAAAGAAGAAGGTAGAAGAAATGCATAATAGAGATAGTAAACAGAGGTGTGAGATGAGACAAGGGAATAGTAATAACGAAGAACAATATAGTTTCACTGGAAATCATAAGTCACAGGGAGTGGATGCATCTGTGCCAGCCATTGACAACTACGATTTTGAGCCATATCACCAATTGTTCCCAGCCATTGGTTTTTACCGTCTTGAGGACCCCAACCAGCTAGTCAGGAAGTTTACACCTTCCTACATGGCTGACTTAAACTAACTGTTGTGGATTTCATTGGCTGGTGAAGCCGTGTTTTGGTTTGACCACCTCCACTAACTCTTTTGCAGTCTGACCCTATGTCAGCTAACATTGCCCGTCACTCGAGGAAGGCGACGACTAGGCATACGTTACACATGTCCTAACCATCTCAGTCGATGTACTTTCACAGCATCGTCGGTTGATTTCCCCTCCTTACCTAGTACTCGACCTATGCCTAACCTCAATATTGCTCACCTTATTATACCACCACTTAACACAGGAGATAGAACGCAGGCACCTATGATCGAAGACAGCTAATTTTTTGATGTCTTCCTCTCTCAATGGCCAGGTCTCACAGCCAGCCATAAAGGAGGACAGAGCGGACTGGTGAGCAGTACACACCCGCCCTTTAGTCGATAGCCAGTCAGCCGGATACCACGTCTATACCACAGATGGCATATGCGAAACTAGCCCTTTATATCTGTACTGAGATTTCGTCAGAGATCAACACGTTGACGCTGGCTGATGGTACTTCCCAAATAAATGAAGCGGTCAACGTGCCCTACCACTTCAGTCCCTATTTCCAAACTAGGAGTCAGTGATATGATATGCTTGTATGCTATGATACCCGATGTATAGGGTAGGTAGCTTGATGTACACATCTTTCTTAGGGGCGAGTTGGAGAGTTGATCTTGGTGTTCTGACTACTTTATATCTCTTGATGAACTTGTCTGGATAATTGTTATCAGCCAGAGTTTGTGTCGATTTTCTTTCTTCTTCTTCTTGTTCATCAAGTGTGCCTTCAGTGCATATTCGTTGGATTCTACTGAAGAGGCACCTTACTAATAATATTGTAATATTGTAACAACGGAAGACAAGGGCCAGTCCACAGATCATTTATTACGAAAATCAGCACGTATTTATATATATTTCATGTACATTATTATAGCTTACTCAAGCAGGCAAACACAGTCTTTTGATTGGTTGTTTCTCGCTTAAGGTCATTCTGTAGTGCTTGTGACCGGTTTCTCAGAAAGTTAAGCCATATATCTGCGAATTGTATTTGCCCACGTTAAGTCTGCTGTGATTGATTGGTTGTTGAATCAGCCTTTTCCATATTTTCTCACGGCCAATATTAGCGACTTAGACATTGACGTAAATTAATGTCTACTAATTGGCTAGCGGCCTGCTCTCACCACAATATTAATAATAAGACCTATTCTACGTATATTGGTTCTGTTTGTTTTATTTTATTTTAATTTCTTAAATAGGAACGATTATTAGCGAAATTTGATCGTAACGATACACAGTTATCAGCTAGTGAACACGAGCAACTACAAAATCTGATCAATTCTCTTCAAGAGTTTAAAAATCGTTGTGATCCTCAGTCAAGAAGGAAGTGATGATGATGATGAATACTTTTTTACTTATGGAATGAAAGCTTTGGTGAAAACTTTGGTTTTCTTTTTCACCAGCTTTGTTTATATGTATGTATATAACTTATTACACTATTAGGATTATTAATATATATATATTATTTTCATACCCCACACTATCTCTCTTTAATATCTGATACACACACACACACACTTGTACAGCACTTTTTAGACAGAAAAAATGATATCTTGACAACGGAAAACAGAAAAAACAAACAGACAAACATTTTATTCTCTCTCTTTGTCTTTCTCTTTTTCTCTCACTCTCTCTCTCTCACACACACACACTCACTGTTGTTATCTCTCTTCTCTAGCTGATTTTCTTATCATGTCTTCTATGTGTACAAAAGTTCGCAAAAAATACACCAATAAAAATCTATTCACAGTTTGATGGATTGTGTTGTAGGAATGAATATGTGGACTCTGGGGTGTTTCTTCCACTTGTCCGTAAATTATGTTGTACTTAATCAACTTGGTGGTCAGTGTTGATTTGATTTGATTTTTTTTTAATAAATGTGGTGTGTACTATGTGCCGTTTATTATTATTATTTATTTTTATTATTCTTCACTAGGGTTCCTAGTGGAATATAGGGCTTCAACTGCACGTCTCCACTTGCTTCTGTCTTGCTTCTGCTGTACTTTTCACCTGCATCCATGTTAGTTAGTCCATACTGTTTCAACTCCTGTTCACACGATCTCCTCCATGTCATCCTTGGACTGACGTCCCACTCGCTGCTTCCTTTTCGGACTCCACTCGAGGGCATGACGTGTGATGTCACCCAGAGGCCTCCTCATCTCCTTTCTCGTGCATATTTGTTGGTCGGCGATCGCTTCTTGTTTTGTTTGTTCCCAGCCATAGTTTCTTGTTGGTGATTCTTTCCGACCCGGCCATCTGATTGATCTTTAGTATAGAGCGAACACAGTTGTTGTTGATAAAGGTCTGCAATAGGCTGTTGGAAATATTCTTTGTGACCCGTTGTTTGTATTGAAAATCCGAGTGAATTTTATTGTTGATGCTGGCTGAGCGACGAAGATTTCCAGATTGGTTCCAGGTTGGTTGATGAATGTGTTTCTCGCCTTCCCGATTCTCGCTCGATTTGCCATCCTCGTCCGTTCCGACTTCCTGTAGTTGAGACAATGCTCCCGAGATAAGTGAATGAAGTAACTAACCTCTTTCAAATCCCTCCCGTTGATGGTGATTGGCGCTGGATGTTGCTGCTGCTGTTGTTGTTGATGTGCCGTTTAAGTGCAAAGTATTATTGCAAGATTGTCAGGGGCCTGTATCTGCATTCACTTTTGTAGGCGAATCGTTTGAAGTTGTCGACAAGTTTGTGTATCATCTAAGTAGAGTTATATGTGAATGCTTGTGGAATAGGTGTTACGGACGGAATATCTAATCGTGTAGGGTGACATACACAGTGGTTAGGACTCTCGCCGACCATGCACATGGTCCGGGGTTCGAGCCCACACCGACGCACACCTGATATCTATGGTCGGCCTGCGAAATTTGGGCTACCGATATCCATGCTGAAAATTCCATACTCGTACCAAAAAACAGTGTGGAATCAAGCTGTAAATAAAAAAAATACATCAATTTGAACCGCCTCTGGTGGTGACGTCAGTCTGGCTGTGTTATGTATGGGGTGTGCACCTGCAAAACTTGGTCTATTCGAGTTGAGGATGTGCAATGACTCTGTGTGTGTATTTGATCAAAGTTGTCTCCCGTAGAATTGCTTGCATCCGGTGACGTCATTCATTACGTATGTCATTCTGAAGTCCAGCAGCATGTGTTTAGACACAGTGGAGATCACCATTCATTAAGTGTGGTTATTTTGAAACACCGGCTTCGGTGGTTTGGATATGTACTACGAATGTCAGCCCAAAGGCGCTTCCGTACCGTTGTCTGCTCGCTAGCCGTGAGGTTGGATGGAAAAGGTGGAGAGGTGGTCGGCCTGTATGACGTGGTACCGTGTGATGAGGGGAATTCATGTTAGGTCAGCGTCGGTTAGTATATCATGATTCCCTGGGTGGGTGTCAAGAGATAGTCTGAATCTCTGGCTCCAGAAGCTATCTATCATGATATGACCAAGAACCACCATCAGTAGCGAATATGCTGCAATTTATTGTTTCATGGTTCACCTCTTGGTGACTACAATGTGTACCAAGTCTTTGTTTCAGAAAAAATGAAAAAGAAATTCCCGTTCCTCTAGAGGCAGCGATTTTCGATTAGTGACGTAATCTTACAAGTTGTTCGAATTCTATGGGTTAAGAAGCGCGAAATATGGTTTCACTTAGTTGCAGGGTTTCTTCATGAGCTGATATTGGTTCGAGAACCATTAGGAAACTGGTTGGAAGTGCCGGACAACTTTCTCATCCTAGTTTGCGACCCTTCAGCGGTACGCCCCAACTGTGGGGGTCGAACTCTAGGCCTAGTTACAAGGCGAGCTCGTAGAACATTAAGCCACTGGGACCTGACTCATGAATTCCAGCTTCTGCCGACTCATGTCATATTGCGATAGCTAGTCATTGTCATCGGTGGCGAGTATTTATCCTCACGCCCGACTTGTTGTATCCTACTGATGGAGAGACCCAAACTAGGCTGACGAAACACCTGTCCAGTATTCCCAGCTGGTTTTCCAATGATACTTTAACCGATGTCAGAGCTCATGATGAAATCCTGTAGCCAATCAATTGAATCCCTACAAACCAGTGCCTGAACGGTTGTAGTTAATGCTTATACTCCGTTAGCGGGACATTTCGATTCTAGAAATTTGTTCTTCCGTTGGATCATACTCTTGTAACGTCATCTCTGACTTTGATATGATATCCGGTTATTCACCACCAAAGGAGGTATTTACTGTCCTCCCTCTCTATCCTTCTTAGTTGCCCATAAGACTTGGCCATTGAAAAATGGGAGACATGAAAAGGCCGGCCAGTTGTCTTTGACTACAGGTTTTTACCTTCCGTTCCCTGTGTTAAATGCTAGAGTATGGTGAGTAATGTCTGGGTTAAATGTAGATTACTACATTAGGAAGGGAGTTCAATCTATAAGGTTGTGAAACTTTATCGATTAAGGTGACTAGGACACTTGTTGCATATGCTGAGCTATCTCCCCTTCCTTTTTAAACAGTGTTAGCTGACATAGGCATTAGGATAGAAAAGAGTATGTTGGTGGTCGAATCATAACCAAGGAGTTGATCCACTAAGTCTTCGATAGTTTAGGAAAACAACAGATTGATCGAAGAAGTATATTCCTTTTCAGTTAGTTCGTCATCACCACCTGGCTCTACACTAATACACATAGTTTCTTACATCAAAATATTTTACCAATCAAGTGGTTATTTTAGTTAATCAGTTCTAGGTATTGGGGGGGGGGTGCTTGGGATTAAGAAATACTCTCTCTCTGTACATCCAACTAACAAGTCCCGAATCCAATGAGATGCTTATCGTAGATTTCTCTGTTTCTACTTTTCAAAACAAAGTACCTCCATTATAATTGAAGAATATATTCCAACCAGGGTGGACTGGTAAGTGGGAAAAGTAATTTTTACCTTTCTGAACGATTTCGTTTGAATTTCTTCACACAAATAATAAATATCACAATGATAGAATAAAACTATTCCTTAATATCTTCGTATACGTGTTCTCCCTAAAATAAGAAAGATGAAAGTGATAGGAGAACACCTTAGTAGACTATATTTAAGAGAAGAAATATCAGTAAGCTAACTCTTATGAGACATGAGAGTGAACAACTGAAATTCGGACTCGAATAACAAGAATTATGAAATCATATTTGTTATACATCTAAAAAGTCAGGTACAGCTACCTTCAGGGAATCTCAGAATACATTTATTCCCCTTAATGAATTTGAACAAAGCAAGAACTACAGTTTTAGCAGAATAAATAAATGAATAAACGTATCACAAACGCCTTGAGAGATCTTCTAAAGAAGAAATTGATTGACAACAACACGTACAATGATTTGAAACCCCGAGGGTCCCGCTTGCCACACATGTATGGCCTTCCGAAGATACACAAAGAACAAGTCCCCCTGAGACTCATACTTTCGATGATCAACTCGCCTCAACATAAGGTGGCACGTTGGTTTGCGGAGAAGTTGGAATCTATTCGTCAACGGCTAGGCGTGCACACGGTGAAAGACTCATTTCATTTCTCTGAAAGTGTGAACCACATGAACGTTCTAAATAAATTCATGGTGTCATTTGATGTAACCTCCCTATTCACAATGATTCCAATCAATGAAACTATTGAAATCATTTGTCAGCAGTCCGATCTTCTCCCACTCCCAGAGTCGGAATTCAAACGCCTACTGCTTATGTGTACCATGGATGTGCAATTCCAATTTGACAACACTTTTTACCGCCAAATAGATGGTGTAGCTATGGGCAGTCCACTTAGCCCTGTTTTAGCAGATATATTCATGTCCAACCTTGAAAGAACAAAGCTGAAGCATGCAATCGACGAAACATCTTCCTACTGTCGTTATGTTGATGACACATTTATAGTGTGCAAAAATAAAAGTCATGCTTCACACTTACTAAGATTATTCAATGGTGCACACGCCAATATTGACTTCACTATGGAACATGAAAGTGACGGAAAGTTTCACTTCCTCGACATCGCCATGGAACGCCTAGAAGACGGTAGTCTTCAAAAGTCAATTTATCGAAAGCCCACATGGAAAGGACAATACTTGCATTTTAATAGCTTTTGTCCACATAGCTTTAAACGTGGTCTAGTCAAGACTTTGTACTATAGAGCGAGGAGAATATGCTCTATAGAGAAACTAGAGGAGGAGTTTGAGTTCCTTGAAAATATATTGAAGAGAAATGGGTATCCTCAAAGGTTCATCAACAAGTATGGAAGATCTGAAGTCACAAAAGTAAAACAAATCACAGTGGAAAAAAGCCAGTCTACCTTCAGCTTGATTATAAAGGTGAAAATATTGCAGCGATGATCAACAGAAGGCTGAGTACATCACTAGCCATAGCGTATCCTGTAGCTAAGCTCGTTCCCATCTATCGAACAACTTGCTCTTTGGTGCAATCAAAAATCGATAGATATCCTTCTCATGTTACCTCCAACTGTGTATACAAATTTACATGTATCTGCGGGAGCAGTTACATTGGAAGGACAGAAAGAAGGGCATATCTACGATTTTCTGAACATGTACCAAAAAGCTTACGTCTAAAGGGAACAAATGCTTTAAACAGTGCCATCACCAGGCATCTTCTCGACACGGGTCATGAGGTGGACGTCGAAAAGTCGTTCAAAATTATCAATAGGCAAAAGAGCTCAATTCTCCTTAAGTTTGCTGAAGCCATTTCCATCAAGCGCCTGAAACCTGATTTATGCGTCCAGAAAGAAGCGGTTATCAATCTTTCTTTGCCCTGGTAACTGGATAATATCACCTCTCTTCCGAATGCGAAATGCTAAAAGTTTCCATTGTGTATGATTATTATTGTTCGGAATAGTGTTTAATATTGCATATATATATATATATGTAT